TTTCAATATTACGGGACCTGTGAGCATCGACATCATGAACACTACGCGCGATAGACGTGGGCTTTCCTTGAGGAGAAGTTGAAGGTAGTCACCCACCTCCATCAATACATGTCTACTGGGAAGGTGGCTCGGGTTGCCATCTTGACATCAGCCCGCCACTTTAACGTACATCGAGTGACCGTCATACGGGTGTGGAACCAACTTCTGCGCAAGAACCGAATGCCATCCGCCAGCCTGGCCGGGTTGACCGAAAGCCTACGCACACTGAAGAAGTGATAACTGATCTCATCCGCGACGTACCTGAGGAACAGCGAACAACCATGTGTGGCATCTCTCAAGCAACCGGTCTCTCAGTGTCCACCGTCCACCGCAGCTTCCGCAGGGGCACGCAACAGCGACACGCGTCCAGACTGAAACCATTGCTCACCGTTCGAACATGCTCGAGCGTGTCGAGTTTTGTCGCACGCACGTCCGGCGCTGGCGAATCCCCTGATCCTTCAGCCTCTTCATTCGAATTCAACGGCATGTATGACGTCGTGCACCTGGACGAGAAAGGGTCCAATGCGGACAAAGACAGAGAAAGGTCTACCCTGTCAACGGCCAGTCGCTTGAACGCCGGACTGTCAAGAGCAAGCGCTTTATTCCAAAAGTGATGTTTTTGGAACCCATCGACATTCACTAGGTTGCTGAACGATAAAATATATCCGCATCGTCGCTTCCGACTGGGTAGGGCAGGGACATTTGGCATCATTTGTTCAAAAGGCGACACGTGGAATGCGTAGAAGTTTTAGCGAATCAATTCCTGTCACCAAAGTCCAGTGACGATGACTCTTTGGCCAACTTGAGTCAGCCCCCCCTTGTGGTGTATTTACAATGTCCAATCAAATTGCTTCATTTGGTTTGGTCAAACTCAAAACTCCAGCACAAACCGTCGTCAAAAGTGCTCTCTTGTTCGCACATGATCAAATAGTCCAACGTCAAGGACAACCAACTCAAGAAATCTATTAATGATTTCAGAGTTGTCATTAAAACTTAGCATCCCGCGCAACCTAAATGAATGGGGTACAGTACCGGTCGGTAATTCTTGATTACTATGCAAACAAAACAGCAAAACTGATCGACACGGGAGGACGCCACGAAGAATTCCTAGCCCAACAAGCCTGACGAGCCTGAGCCGTGCTGTGCCCTTGCAGGCTCGTCAAACACTGCGCGCTATGTCAACACAAAGTGGTGTATCGAAGACCGCAATTATCCGCCACCACATGGAGGAAGAAAAGCGATTCGAGGCGAAGTCAAGGCTCTCCAAGCCGTATCTCAGTGAAGAAAACCAGCGCTCCCGAGCCCAACATGCACTATCTCATCTTTTACAGTCGACTTATGGAGCCACCTTTTACAATGTGCACCAATGTGCGCATGTTGATAAAAAGCAGTTCTATTTAAAAGCTGTAAAGAAGGGTTTGTATGTATATAAGTTAAGGTTGGACTGAACGACTGCCTCAAGACGAATCTGTTCATTACGAAGGCGAAGTACTTGGCGGCGATGGCTCATCCAAGACTCAATTTCAACAAGCAGTGCGTTTTCGACGGCAAGTTGGTATCGCTTAAAGTATGTTTACAACCCATGATATGTCCTTATTAATTGTTTTGTTATTTGAATATGTTTTTTGTGGGTGTCTGGCCTTTCATCGAATAGTGCCTGCAAAGCTGGACAGCAAAAATCGTAAAAAAACTGTTATTTCTGTTCCTCAACGCTCTAAACACCGTTGTTTATCGGGATATGATTGTTAAATAACATTGTTTCTGCAATGAAGAAGAAATTTCCTTTGGGAGATTAACCTAGAATAATACACATGTAGCAAGACTATTCAAGTCCACATAATTGTGTCTTTTCGCAAAGTCTGTTAAAACACTGTGTTTTTGGTATCGAAGCCGCCAAACACCCCCAAACAGTCCAGCCGTAAGTGTCCTGGCTATTGGATATTTTAACTCTATTCAAGGCCTACACAAGCTCCCTCGTTGCATAATGCTGCAACCATACAGAACTTGTCGTTGTTTAATGTTCCTTGCGATCCAGCAGTGCATCAGAGCGTCATTGCATACCTGGATTGCGCTTGAATTCCCAAGAAAGAGTAGCTGTCTCATTGTATTTTTGTGGAGCAATAAGATATCTCGGAGTTCAATACAAACGATAACACATTTATCACAACTGGTGCATACTTTAATCAAGTGAAAGTTTTCAGCCTCATTTTCAAGATCAGATATGTACGTGTAAAATACTATTATTCAAACGGCATAGCTGCTTCCGACAATATAATACACTTGCAAAATCCGAAATCGCGTGTTTAACTTCCACATACTGATTTCCCTCGCAAAGTCACTCGGGCAATGTATTGCAATTTTCACAATACATAGAAATTCATAAATGTAAATAGCTTCACAGACAATGAAAGCCAATCAATTCAAGTTCATCACAGACATGTTGGATGTGCATATGGACAAATATATGCCCACAATACCAGCGATTCCAGCTATAGACAACGGTTGCCTGGGACACAGAGCTCCACGCTTCCATTTGCCCAACCCATGATCTCAACAAGAGGTACTTCGCACAAGCCCGTTTGACGTCCTTCCATGACGTTGTAAATTTGATCCAGAGCATTCTGCAAATGCCACTGTTTCAGCTTCGCCTTAAACAACGCAATGATGCCAGTACCTTGAGGTTGAAAGTGAGCTGTGGTATACTAGTTGGTAGCATCTTAACACGAACATTGGATAGTCCGCGTAAAGGAGGAAATTATTTCGGTCTCTGTCCAACATGGGCTCATTGAGAGTACGGATGTACGCGTTAAGCAGATCGCCATTCATTCATTCCTTTTTAAGTGATGGGTAGTGGAAATTTAGAGCACTTGGCGACTGGCCACCTAACAGCGTGGGCGTGCAGCAGTACGAACAAAAAAGGGGTCGAAGGCGTCAGAGCCGTCTGTGTTTGTGGTAAGTGCGATCGTAAATCGTTCCTTTGACTTCTTTGTTCCAGACAAACGACTTCGTGTTTGGGACCAGTGCGGTGACACGCGGTAAAAACGACGTCTCATCCATGTTGTAGACCTCATTTGCATTGTAGCCGCTTGTGACGTTCAGAATTTCCTTCCGACTACTCTCGACGGCCTCGGGTGATGGGGACGCTGCCTCACCTGTCATCGTTGGAATCTGCAGCCAACCCTTTGATAATTCAATTCGGCGCTCCGCGGATAATTGTACAGTAGGTCGTTGAACACATTCGTTTCTTTATTTCGTATGAGCTCACCAGTACAGTGAGCGACGAATACATGTCCCTTAGTGGTACCTCACCACAAATCCGTCATATTAATATTGTTGACGTTCAATCTGGAAGAAGAAATTGTGTAGTTAACCAATGGGTGACAAATGCTACTACGACCTAGTACATGATATCATGCGCAGTGAATAGTTGGATGTACTATCACATCAATGTACTGCTCACTTCATCTTCGTCGCACCAAATATTCGCTATCATGCAATTTACTAGTAACAATGATTTGTAATGCGCCGACACAATGCGATACGAAAGCGGTAGCAACCACTGAGTAAAACACAAACAGATCATTATCTTCCTTATCAACGCGATCCTGAGAGATCCGCGATCCTTGAAGATACTGCGATCTTCTAGGATATGCAACCGCCCAAGATACGCATATGCAGGTATGCAGGTCGGACCATCATTCCGACTCCATATGCAAATACAGAGGGCAGCGGTCGATGTCACCGCATCAACACCCTCCAAGCCCAACGCTACCCTCGGCTGGCAACCAAGCCATGCACATCGTCCATCCGCTGCATGTTTTTCGACCCCGCAACACACTTAGCAACGTAGCTGCGCACAGCATAAGGCACGTCTTTCAACAAAGACGTCACAGACTCACAAGTCTTTTCGACCTCGTCGAGACCTCGCCATTTTACCAGAAGCATCCACTGCTTCAAATTCCGATCGAACTCGTAGTCGACCAGTGCCTCGACCTCAAGACCACCATTCACGTACGCAATGTGGTCAAGCAGGTCTTGCTTGATTGTGGCGTCCTTGGCTGCGTAATGCTTCATCCGACTAGCATGATGCTGCGAGATCTTGCCATCCGCAAGTCTTCAACATCGAAAACCCAATCTGAATGCGTGCGTATGATCCGCTTTGGACCGAGCCACGAAATCGCCAACTTGGACCCGTGTCCCCAAGAGATTTTGCCAATCAGCACGTAATCTCCAACGTCAAAATGCATACGACGCACCACCGATTTCTTGTTCCGACGCTGCCGCTCATTGTCACGTTTGTTGCGACTAGTCGTCGCCATCTGACGATGTAATTGATCGCGAGTCACCGCGAGCTGTTTCCAAATTGTAGAACGCCACAACTTGAGCGTCTCCTCGCTCACTTCCTGCACAGTTCCATCACGCTTGAACGCATTCAAACAGCGTTTCTCGAAGGCAATTGTGTCATCGCAGTGACTGGGTCCAGCCCACCGTTCCTTTCAGAAGGAGTTTGGTTCAGTGCATGCTGTACAAGTGGAAGCAAGTTCCTTGCATCTTCCGGTCTGAGCTGTAACTCTGTCAACATAGTCTTCATCGTCTTTCGGATGCTTCGCATCATGACTTCGACTGTTCTGTTGACCCAGGGACAGTATGCAGGTGAGAAATTGTGCGCCATACAAGCGATGGAGTTCACGCAACATCTCATTTTTGTAATGAGGTCCTTGGTCTGACATCCATGTCGGCACGATGCCGAAAGTTGCAAACCACATTTGCACGGCATCGACCGTATCAAAGGCCTTGCAACCATCGTGTCACGTCAACTGACAGAATCTTGATGCATCGTCCACAATGACGTGAACCTAGCCGCCTTGTAAGGCCATAAAATCGAAGTGAATGAGCTGGTTGGGCTCCGCCGCATGCAAAGTCTCGCCGACAGGTCTCGGCACTACTACGCCGCCGACACTGAGACACTGCAGACAGTTTGCTACAAACGTCTTGCAGTCTTGTTCGAGCCCACGCCACACAAAAACGTCACTCAGGGCTCTTTGCTGTCGCACGGCCACCCCTATGATCCATCGTGCCCGCGTGTGAGATCACCAACAGTGAGAGCTGCAGATCTAGGCTCCAGTCGGAATCCAGATCTTGCCGTCGACACGGCCAACGCCGTCTTCAAAGACCAACTTCTCTTTCATCTTGGCCAGCTCACGCGGCCATTCTTGTTTCACCATCTTTATGGCTTCTAGCGTCGGCCACTCGAACGTATCCGCCAACGGGGATGCAACAGGCAATGGAAGCTTTACCAACCCCTTCACACGAGATCCGTTCTGGGCCTCGTCTTCACACCAAACAGCCGCATCAGCTGTGCTCTGCCTATTGCCCCAACGTGACAACAAGTCACCCGAGACTTTGTCATCGCCGTTGACATGGTGAATCTTGTAGTTGAAACGGGACAACGTCATGGCCCATCTAGCCAGCTTGTCGGCCAAATATCGAGGCTGTGATCCTTGCGGATCGGTACCGAAAATGAAACTCAGGTTTCTGTGGTCTGTGTAGATCACGAATCCACCTGGTCGGTGGAGAAGATAATCGAGACGCTTGCATGCTTGCACAATTGCGTACGCCTTCTTCTCCACGGTCGACCACCGTGCACTGGCACCCTTGAAGGTTCCACTGAGGAACGCTAACGGTTGATGATCTTGTACACCCACCAGGAGATTCACTTGATCCTTGGGGACTTGTGTCAATACTGCCCCCCCAATGTTCCTGACTAGTATCTGTGTACAAACAGAACTGCTTCGCCGCATTCCGGGTGCTCTAGCGTCACCATACACTTGAGCGCGTTTTTGCACGCATCAAAGGCGTGAGTATGGGCCTCACCCCATCCATACGCTACCAAACTCGTAGCACCAACTTCGTCTTCTTCCGAGTGCCTGCCAGTTTGCCGACGTCGTCTAACAGCTTGACCAAAGGGCCCACCAAAGCTGTAAAGTTCGGAATAGACTGCCGCATCCAATTCAACGCACAGACGAACTGTTGAAGTTCCTGCGCTGTCTTGGGAGGCTGTAGCTCAATCAACCCCGCTAAACGGAGCGGGTCATATGAGATACTAACGGCAGAGATTCTCTTGCCGCACCACACCACATTTTGCGCGTAAAACTCGCACTTCAATGGGTTGAATTTTAGGCCAAACGTCTGCGCACGCTGCAGGAGCCACTCCAAGAGGTCTAGGAGCTCGGGCTCCGCTGCTGCACTACCCAACACATCATTGAGCCACGCCTCGATCCCTTTGCCATAACGATCTCCATAGATCGTCTGTGCAACCGACTGGCAGTACGCCACGGCGTCAGACTGTCCCATCAAAACACGATTGGGCTCCACCATTTCGTCAACCCCCATGATTGTGTATGCCTCTCCACTGGCGGCCTCCAAAGCGAGCTGCCAATAGCCATTGAACCAATCCAGGGCAAAGAAACACTTCGTCCCGGCCAAACGAACCATCACAACTTCGAGAACTGGCATAGGCCAGTGCATCGGTTCGGTTTGCGAGTTGGGGCCGCGTGTGTCCACAGTCATACGCATAGAGCCATCCTTTTTGGCAACAATCCGAGGCGGTGAACACCATCGCGAGCGATTTGTGCGTCGAGCTAGACCAGCATCGACTATTGCACCAAGATGAGCGCGCAGAAATTCAGTCTGCAAAGGCGAATAACGTCTTGCCTTGCAGGTTGTCGGCACTGAGTCTACCTTTAACCGCACTTTCAGCGGTTCCACTCCACCGCAATTGGAGGATCCAGCTTGAACTCCAAGCGGAAAACATCTTCATACCTGTCCAAAATCGTAGCCAAACGTGCGCCACACTTTTTATAGACAAGCCATTGGCGATTACTTCGACCACCTTGGCTCTCAATACACCACTGACCGACTGCCCCACGCAGTCATCGTCATCACTGTTGGCATCCTTATCACCTTCAGTATCGAGCTGAGCCTTCCTTGCCTTCAGAGCGCGACAAATGGCCGATATATCGTTGTCTTAGACAGAGAGCTCGCTCAAATCGAAGCTCGTTGGGGATCTTGACAAACTCCATAAACTGCAACACAGGGTTGCGGAGATGCTTGTGATCCAACTCCAAGTGGTTTTTGACCACGGCCTTCAATGCTGGCGGCCGAATTCCTTCAATTAACGCTTTCACGGCGTTCTTAGGATGCTTGACGTGGAAAGACATCATGTTGTTCTTGTCCAGCAGTGCCCAATACGAGTGCATCCACTTGTCAAAACACTTGTCTGGGTCCAATTCCTTGTCATCCATGACAACCGTCGTGCGGATCTTGGCCTCCAAGTCGCCAAAATCAGGGCCATGGTAGTTCAGAGCGTACTGAAAATACTGAGCCCAATCAGCGTTCGTAATCAACGCCACATCCTTTCCAAAGTGCATCATAGCGGCAAAGCTCTTCGCCTTCGCTTCGATACACGTTCCAATCGGTCGGATGCCAATCTTTGTACCAAGCGACACGGCAACTTGAGCACATTCATTGCAGTACTCGTAATACTACTTTGCAAATATGCGCCGCGCCTCCAGCGAGTATCCCGTGTATCGCGGAGCCTTGGGCGTCTCCATATGCAAATACATAGAGCAGCGGTTGATGTCACCGCATCAAGTATCTATATTGACTGGCTCCTCTAGTATCATTGGCTGGTTCGAGTCGTGCAAAACGGCGTCGTTCAAATTAACGTCGTACCAAACCTACACCAGGGCCACAACAAATTCGATTGTGCCTGCAGCCGAAAACGCATGGCTATGGTTATGTTAAGCCTGGGAGGACTTGCCATCTGAAATCATCACTCGCTCATTTGAAAATTCGCTGCCACTGACCCGGCTGTATTGTAATCTTGTCACTTGAAAATATATTACAACCTCGAGATATTTGTTGTTTTCAATAGCATTGTAGTATTATTGTCAAGGCCGGTTGGGATAGGTCACCATTTCAGACCTCATAACTCTTCAAGGAGATTCCCGATTTCGACGAAACGATGATATAAAGAAACGTCAAACAATTTCTGATGCGACTAAATCGCCAACAAGTCGCTTTCAGAATGGTAAGGAATATTAATACACCGTTCAAAAACGGCAGGTGAAAAACGTCTCCAGTTGGAGTATAGGGTTATTTTTAGGACAATTGATTGGACAAAACTAACCAGGCTTAGGTCAAGTATAGGCAATATGGAAGGTTTTATATAAAAGCGCATCAGGTTAAACAACGTTTTAATCACTGCCAATGGAAGACCCACCGAAGCTATCCTCTTCCTTACAGCTCGAGACAAGGAAACGTCTTCATCAAGTGCCTCGTATCTATCCTCGTAGTTCTGCGCCTTGCGGTAGAACGACACCCAGTCATGACTGTTCACCTCTCCAAACAACGTCCATAGACATTCCTCGAGCTCCGCGGCGTTCTTCGATGGACGCAGTGCCGCGCGGTTCTTCACCATCCCCCAAACGAGCTCGATCGGCTGGAGCTCATGATGGTAAGGCGGCGTGAAATACAGAATGTGACCGTACTTTGTAGTGATCAACTGCGACGAATAGACCGGCTTACCCCGGTTGCGCGCGACCAACTCCAACAGCTCGGCCTTCACCATGTGAGCTTCATACGCGATGCCCTTGCCGCGTAGCCACTCCTGGATGTCCGCTTTTTGCTTCTGCTTTGTCGGTACGTACTGTACACCGTATTCCGCTAGTGGTACTTTGCCCCATCCATGTGGATATGACAGG